ACGTTCCCTCTTTAGCGGCTTCGCTGCTCTTCTGATTGCGTGAAGGTGAGCTGATCCGAAGAGAACGGTAAGAGGATTGAATATTCCTGCGTGACACGGAGAGATCAATTCCGACCGAGATTACTATGAAATTTTTGCAAACGAAAAAATCTTAAAATGGCCTGTGGTTAAGGACGAAGAGTGACCTTGCTGAAAGGGACAACCCTGCTAGTCGCTGAGGACCTCGGAAGTGGGCGCGGCGAAGTGACAGGCGCCGTAGTCCATGGCTTCAGCGAACGGTAGGTAGCTCCTCCCCGGGTTTCCTCACAACTTTGGCGCCGTTGCCGGGGAGGGGAGCAGCACCCCCAAGGCCGCGGCCTTCCCCAACCAACGGGGGTGCACGGGCTGATTAGTCAAACACTAATTAGCTTATTTTCTTGATTAGTTATATTTTTTATAATCATTTTATTTAGTTTTTTTGAAATATCCCCTGATCCGCGCGCTTTTGCGTGAGCCCCGCTAGGAGCAAAGTTCACCCTCTCGTCGAGGCGAACGTTTTGAGACGTTTTTTGAAAAATTCTAACGGCTAGAAAAAAACATATGGATTTTTTTTTATTTTTCAAATTAAAAATCCCAAAAATTATGAGTTAAAATTTCTAATTGGTTTTTCCTCAATATCTCCTTATCCGCGCGCTTTCGTGTGAGGCGCACTGGGAGCAAAGTTCGTCGTCTCCTCCAGGCGAACGTTTTGAGATTTTTTTTTGAGAAATTCGAACGGCTAAAATGCGAGATATGGAATTTTTTATATTTTCTGATTAAAAATTCCAAAAATTTTGATTTGGGTTTTATTGAAATGGTCAGGAAAATAAGTGAAATTAGGGGAATCCCGGGACCAAAGTTGGTCCTTGTATTTTTTTCGACATTTTGAGACCCTAGTCGGGGAAATCGGACTTTGTTTGGACAAACGGCGAACTCCAACAGATAGAAAAGGTGGAAGAAAATCAACGGGAAATTGAATTTCTTTGTAATTTTGTTTAAATTAAAAGAAAAAGGGATTTAAAAATGTAATCGAATAAGTTTTTCTTCTAAAATTAGTGAAAGCTAACAAAAATTTTATCGCGTCGAACAGGGCTTTGCGGCGTTCGTGCGGTTGCGCACAAAACCCAAAACCCTAATAAAGGGAAACCCTAATTAGGGTGAAGTCCTAACCCCAATTTTTCGGGAAGCGGGTAGATGAGGGAAGCCATAGCTTCTAGCTTCCGCATTTGTTACGGATTATTTTTTGTTAAATATATCCCGTAAGATTGTGGAAATTAATTCGGGAAGTTTTGCCCCATTAAATAATTAAGAATTATTTTACTTTTGATTTTGTTATTCAAAATCGATAAAAATTGAAATAAATATTAAAAATTGCGTAGGGGCATTTTTTTGACTTCAATGCTCTTCATATCTACTTTACCTATTTGAGGGATTTTTTTCCGAACCCCATCCCACCGGGGGGAAGAAAACAGCTGTCGAAATTTCTCGAAATTTTCCTTTTAATTTAAAATTTTGCTAATTAATTAACAAAAATATTTAAAAATCGAGTTAAATCAATTTTCCTTTTTTTTCCATTATTCCTTTTGATATTCCCTCTTCGGCAACGCTGTTTGAGGGCTTCGCTCGAACCCCATCCCAATGGCGGGAGGCGAAACGCTGCCGAAATTTTAGTAAATTCCCCAAATTTTATTTCTACCCCTAAAAATGATCAAACTCGGCGGGCTTATATATGTATTGATCCTTAATATAGAAAAACTAAGAAAGAAATTTTATCCTAACTAAATACATTTTCTTTAATTTATAATTGAAAAATATAAAAGAATTCCCTAAAAGAAGAAGGGAAAGAGACGCTGCGGTAACCTGGTTTCGGGTGAACCTACTAGCTTGTTCCCAAAGGGGTGAGGCAAGCGACGGGAATTTTCAGTTATAAATCTACACCTCCCTCTTGCGGCGTTCTCTCTAGCCGCCAGTTGAATGTGGCCGCAGGTGCAAGTAGAGGTCTATGGGGCTACCATTGACTGAGACTTGGAGCCCCCTGAACTCATAGAGGGGGATCTGGTGGAGCTCACGATCCCCGGGCGCAACATTCGACACGTTGACGGCCAGTTTGCGTGGAGGTCCATAATCTTGTCCGAGGACGTGTGTCTTTGAACGTACAGAGAGCACCGGCCGGGGCAAGGAGTGGGCGTGGTGAGAGCCTACTTGTATTTGGGACCGGGTGCAGTCAGGGAGGCCGTGGTGGGCCTCGCGACAACAGGGACTAGTTGATATTACGAGACGAACGACCCGAGAGGACTCATGAACTATAAGGGGTTGGACATCTAATAGCAAACAGAGCGCACGATCTAGAGATAGGATTGACGCTCGCAGGAGCGAGCAAGAGTTGGTGGAGGAGCGAGTTGTTGGCAAGAGTGATCGTTAATCAACAACTAGCGAAACTCTCGGGGGGGAGGACGGTTCGGGCCGCTTGGTATACGGTCCTCCGCACCCGACTCTCTACCCAAGAGAGGATTGGCGATTCGGACTTCCTACCTTCGTGATAGGGCAGACCTATGGGAGCGTGAATCGTTTGAGTAGAGCAGTGGACCAAACACTTTACGCGCTCTGGGAGGGCTTAGCGCCCCGCTTCAAGGAAGTATACTACGCCATTTGTGTGAGGTGGGGGCCGCCCTGTAGAGAGACGCTTGACGACATCATAGACGTTACTAGCTGGGTGGACCGTCTGAGGCCAATCGATCTGATTAGGTACTAAGGGAGATCTGGTCGTGTCAGGACGAGGGCAAGTTGCATAGGGCTGAACTCGTGACGAGAGAGTTAGAGAATCTGTTTAGGGAGGAAAGAAAGATTATCCAGGCGTGGAGATCAAACTTTCTGGAGAGGGTAAAGGCTAGAAGCGTATCACGCAAAGAAACTAGTGAGCGATCTGCAGAGAGCGAGACAACGGAAGACAAAGTAACGCAGGGAAGTAGCGACAGGACATGAGCGGGACTGCACTACACACGACGGATCGATACTCATTACATGTGGTAGGGAGACTGGACGGACCATTAGTGTTAGTGATCATAGAACTCCGGCTCCATACCAGACTGTGCATAGTTGAGGAGGCAGAGTGTGTCCGCCGCGCACTGCGTGAGGCTAGGGGAACAGGACTTTGGATTGGAATAGAAGGAGGACGGAGGATAAAATACGTACTCCAAGTGACACCTTTCGAAGGGAGGTCACGGATAAGGGTATGGTACGAGACGACCAGAGAGGCTGAGAGGTTGAAGATAAGCGAAGCCAGGAAAGATAGAGAGTTAGGGAGAGTTGTAACAGATGGTGCAATACTCAGGGTGTTAGCCGCTCACCACCGGTACTGGAAGGAATCGATAAAGACTTTAGAGGCGATAGACGATGGTGGAGATAAGGAGGACTTTGAGACATTTTATGACATATTGGAGCGGTCGGCGATGAAGTTACAAGTGGTTATAGCACTAACTTACCTCAGCTGTTAGACCGATGACCTCGTAGGCGTCTGGGAGATAAGGTAGTGAAAATAGAAATTGGAAGCTCTTGGAAGGATAGTGGAAGTTAGAAAGGTCAATGGGCGACTTTGGATGGTAGGAGGAGGGCCTTTAGCGGGCTAACCGATTCAAGACAGGGCTAGGAGAACCAGCAAGGAGGATGGAGATAGACGCTCGGAGACTCTTGAGGGGTGTTGATCAGGAGACATTGGCTAGGTTTGGGACAGCGATCTGTCTCAAGGATAGAGGTCCTGTCACGGGTGTGCTGTAGATCCGGAGAGGCACGGCCTTGTTGGCCGATCCCGAAGGAGAGGTTTACTTAGACACATGGATTCTTGGGATAGAGGGAGAGCACGAGATCTGCGACCGGTATGGGATCTGAATGAACGAATTAGGCAAGAAGCACCACGAAGATCGGCTGACCAAACCAATGACGGAGGGTCCGACGTAAGGGGCGAACCAGTTGCGACAGAGCCGCAGAAGGCTCTAAAGACGGGTACCTCGAGCGGACAACCAGAAGCGACGAGGCGACGCTCCTCCGAGTACGAGCAGGGGGACACGATAGCGGACAGGCACAAAGACGACTGGAGAGAGAGTTTGAGGGATTCCTATTGGAGGGACAGAGATAGAGACAGGGCGCCGCCCAGGCGAGTCTTTGACCCCCAGACAGGGAAGTCTCATCCGCTCCCTTACGAGAGCAAGGATGGCTATATTATTACGCACAAGGCCTCAGAGCCTCCTACCTTCAGGGGCTATGGTATCACAGAATATCTGGAGAAGTGAGAGCTTCACGCCTGCCGGAGTCAGTGGTCGGAGGAAGAAATTATAAAGAACTTCCTATTTAATGTGGACCCAAGTCCTGTAGGGAAGTTAAGGAAGCTCGACCGAAGGATGGCAAATGGACTACGTACAAGAAGAACCTCGTTAAGCTTTACAAATTGGAGGATAACAAGTATTCCATGAAGGACCTTGAAACAATGACTCAAAATGAAGATGAGAGCGTACGGGCATTTAGGATGCGTTTCCAAAAGATCTCCGACGTGCTGATGAAGAAGGGGAAGATCTCAGAGGTCGAGCGCTGTACTATCTTCATTGGACACTTGTCCAAAGGTAGGCAAAAGAGTATACTTAGAGATCTTCCGCGCGTCAGGCTTGATTTCCCAGAAGTCCTAAAGCTCGCGATAAAGGCAGAGGCAGACGATTACAAGGACTTGGTGTGGAGAGGGATGAGGAGACGTGACTTCTCTCTCTACAAGGAGTATGTCACTGATAGATGTCCTAATTTCAAGGACTATCCCTGGTCGGAGAAGAATGAGGCCGTGGCTGAGGAAGTGAAGGAGATACGGGACATGGTGAAGGGATTGACAAGACAGGTTACCGAGATTGTGACCACTACAGGGGCCACGGCCTACCGAGATAAACCTGGCGGACCCTATTCACTTCGCTGGGACCGTAGGAACAACGATTCCTGGAGGAGTATCGAGGATAGATTTCCTCGGACGTTGACTGATTATCGTACGAGGGGAAGAGAGAGAGATGATGAGCCATGGCGACGTAGGGATGATGAGATACACCGAGACCGCAGAGATTGAGAGCCGTTTGCGCGAGCAAGGAGGCTGGAAATTTACCCGCGAAGCCCTTGCTATGAGGCCGATTGGGGTAGAGGCGACTCCCGCGGCCGATAGAAGACAGATCAGGGCCGACGGGATGGATATAGGGACGACAGATAGGAGAGATCGGACCGAGATGGATATAGGGACGACAGATACGAGACATCGGACCGAGACGGATATAGGGACGACAGATACGAGAGGTCGGGTCGAGATGGCTACAGGGGTGGTAGGTATGAAAGAGGAGATCGGGACTGGGAACGACGAGATGGGTCGCGCGGACGGTTTGAACGCGGGGGAGATGCGAGAGAGCAGCGCGACGARTCGCGGGGGTGGTACAACCGAGGGGACCGACGTGATGAGTCACGAGGGCGATATGACTCGGGGGACCGCCGGAATAATTCGTGAGGGCGGTATGAGCAAGGAGGGTCTGGAGGAGACCGCCGCAACGATTCGCACGGTCGAAATGAGAAAGGGGGATATGGCGTCTCATCAGAACCATATCCCAAGTCGCCTGACCCCATGACAGCCAGGAGTTCGATCTCTAGAAGCGCAGACGACAGGCCATCTACTCCCAGGAACTCATGCGTCTACTGTAGAGGAGAAGATCATATCAAGAAGGATTGCCCGGACCTCAAACGGGCAATAGATGAGGGACTTGTCGTGCTTGACGACCATAAGTACGTCAAGTGGGCAGATGGTCTGGGAGATGTATCGATGTTCCCTTCGATGAAGGAGAATGTCGAAGCAAGGAGAGTAAAGCCGAGTAAAGAAAAGGAGCCGGTCAGGAGCCATAGCATCAAGATAACCTTTGAGGGGGATATGGCGACCACACCGATAAGGGTGACAGCCACCAAGTCGACGAGAGGGTCTACATCGAAGAAGACTGACACGGATTACGTGATGGCGGAGAAGGACGGGCAGCGGATCGATGGAGACGAGGTTATCCTTTCGCCGTGAAAGCGGGGAGTGAAGAAGTTCTTAATGAAGAGTTCGCTGGACGAGATTGACACGGTCGAGCCACTGAGGCGGGCCCTTCGGCAACCCATGCAGTGCTCTATTCTGGAGTACCTGGCGGCATCGAAGCCGGCTCGTGATGAGTTACAGATGATCACGCGGAAGACTCGCATACCTCTATCGGAGGAGGGTCAGGGGGCCCCTAAGGTGGAAGCTTCTACAGTAGCAGGAACGGGGGTGACTGCCAAAGCGGATCGCATGACGACAGTCCTTCTCGATGGAATGGCAGGTGTGCCTCCAGACAAGTTTTATATACTTGGTAGCGGGGCCGTGGAGACGATTATAAACGATGGAGTGGTACTCGATGCTGTGATCGATAACGGCAGTGAGGCTGTCATCATAGAMGAGGAYCTGGCAGTACAGGTTGGACTGGGYCTCGATAGGTCATACCTAYTCGAGATAGAGACGGCTGATGGGAGAAAGCAACAGATCACTGGGGTTTGTCACAAGGCAGCCATAGAGGTCCAAGGGGTACGAGTGACCCTGCCTGTCTTTGCAGTCAAGAACTGCAGCTCCGACCTGGTCTTGGGTCGAACGTGGCTGAGCCACGTGCATGTGGTGACGATAGAGCGACCTGATGGGAGTCAAAAATTGTCCATTAAGAAGCCAGACGGGACGCGGGTAATGATTGAGGCAGTGGAGCCTCGGGACCCGAGGAACAGAGCAGCTCTCGCTGTGGGTGCGAGACCCAGTGATCAGATTAAGTCGTTACCTATCTCCGGCCGCGCGGTGCGATTTCGCGAGAAGAAATATGGACCACTGCTCACAGAGGAAGAAGGTCGGATCGTGGAGGTGGAAGATTTAGGGAGTCGGCTAATAGTAGACGACAACTCGTACCCAAAGGAAAAAAATGAGGAATTTGGCGGGGTGGTATCTGTGTCTTTTTTAAGGGCACGGCCCAAGCGACACAAGCGAGTAGCTCAAAAAGTTAAGCCAGCGGTGGTGGGCCGCGAGCGATCTACACTGGAAGGGATATTGGAAGAAAAGATCGCGAAAGAAAGAGAAACGAGCCGCAACGGCTAACGGAAGAGAGGATAGTAGGGATGAACATCGGAGATGGGAATTTGACCCCACAGGAGCGAGAACGTGTGATAGAAATCCTGAAGACATGTGATAAGGCCATAGCTTTTAGTGACGCGGAGCGCGGTAGGGTTGACCCTCGATACGCTAAGCCAGCAAGGATTTACACGACACCACATGTTCCCTGGAATGACGCGGGATGGAAATACGCCCAGAAGGAGAAGGAAGAAGTTATCGCTTTCCTAAAAGAAAAGATGGTTTTCCATGTTGCGGAGCCGTCTGATAGCGCTTATGCTAATCGATGGTTCTTCCTACGAAAGCCGAATGGCAAGATCCGATGGATCCAGGACCTTCAGAAGGTCAACGCGGTGACGATACGAGACGTGGGCTCCKTGCCACACGCCGATTTACTGGCAGAAGGCGCTGCAGGTAGGTCGATTTATTCGGTCTGTGATCTGTTCTCAGGCTATGATGAGGTGCCACTTGACCCTAGAGAGAAGCACCTCACGGCTATGCATACGCCATTGGGACTAATACAGATGATGGTTGTCCCTATGGGTTGGACTAATGGGGTAGCCGTTTTTCAAAGAGCCATGGTAGCCCTCCTCAAGGACTTCATCCCTGATAAGGTTGAAGTTTTTCTGGATGACTTTCCTATAAAAGAGCCAATAAACAAGGATGAGGCAGAGGTTGCACTTGGAGTTAGAAGATTCGTCGAGCAGCACCTAACGGATATTTGCGCGGTACTCGAGCAGCTGGACGATGCGAATCTAACAGTCAGCGGAACAAAGAGCCGATGGGCCGTCTCGACTATTAAGATCTTGGGCTTTATCTGTGACTCGAGAGGACGCCGAGCAGATCCGGCGAAGTTAGACAAACTCCTGAACTGGCTGTCACCATTACATAGTCCAACCGAGGTCCGACAGTTTTTGGGAGTGGTCGGTTACTGGCGTATATTTATACGAGGGTATGCGAAGAAGGCTGAGCCATTGAGATTACTCCTTCGAAAGACAGAAAAATTCTACTGGGATTCTTCGCAGGAACTCGCTATGCAAGAACTTAAAGATGAATTTAAGGAGGGAGGACGCGTGTTGGGCGTGCCATTCTTTGACGATCAGACCGAGAGACCCTTCATAGTATCCACGGATGCTAGACCATGTTCAGTAGGTGGTTTGCTGTCTCGGAAGAACGCTGGAAGGAAGGAAAGACCGTTAAGATCTGAGAGTATGACACTTAATACGGCTGAGCGTAACTACAATCAATTCAAGAAGGAAGTGTTAGCTGTTCTCCGGTGTCTAGATACGTTCAGACACTATATCTATGGGCGACGGTTCATCTTGAGAGTAGACCCCACCGCGGTTGCCTCTGTCCTCCAGAAGGACTTCAGTCTGATGGACCCGACCATCGCCCGATGGTTAATACGGATTCGGTTATACGATTACACGGTTGAGAGGATATCTGACACTAAAAATGCCGTGGCAGATGGACTTTCGCGCATCCCTCTTGAGGCCGAGCGCCCGATAGTAGCAAGGACCCTGACTATGGCGGAGCCAGGACGCACCGAGCGTTTTCTGGTTAACCTTTACGAGGGCAAATACCGAATGATCGAGCTACATTTGTCAGGAAAGGAGAGTCAAGCATCAGATATCCAGAGACAAGCGGCCCAGTACTGCCTTAGAGCTGGCCATCTGTTTCGAAGGCCGGGTGGCTCGGGGATGCCCTTACGAGTAGTTTGTGACCCTGAGGAGAGACAGACAATAGTTGTGGAGCTTCAGGACGGGGTAGTCGGAGGACACAGGGGAGTCAAAGGAACCTACGAAAAGGTACGCAGGTTGTACTGGTGGGAAGGACAGTATAAGGACGTCAAGAGGTATTGTAAGACCTGCGAAGAGTGCCAGAAGAGAGCTCTTGTGAAATACAAAGAGCCACTTCATCCATCCTATCCGACCAGACAAGGAGAGAAGGTACACATCGGTTTAGTGAAAATGCCGAAAGGGGTAGACAATATGAACTACGTTGTGAACATACGAGACGATTTCACTGGGTTYGTGGACGGTAGACCTATCAGGAGTAGGGCGACAAAGGAAGTAAAGAACTTTGTCCTAGAGTACTTATCTAGGTATGGTTGTGTCAACAAGATAATGATGGACAGAGGGGCGGAATTCCTAGCCGACGAGGTTCAGAGCGTGTTCAGGAGAGCCGGGGTGGGAGTTTCGATAGCCACCGCCTATCACCCACAGTCGAACTCCCCAGTAGAGAGGGGACACCAGACTCTAAAAGCGTCACTCGTCAAGTGGTGCAAGGGTAAGGACAGTGATTGGCCACGATATTTTCGATACGCAATATGGGCAGACAACGTCACGGTCCGGGCTAGTACCGGATACCCACCGTACACCTTGTGGTTTGGGCGACATTGTCCGCTTCCCATAGAGTTTCACGTCGACAGCTGGACAACCGTCGACTGGGCGGAGGAGATGTCCAGAGAGGTACTCATAGCTGCCCGAACAAGACAGATAACCTACGGTTTGGAAGATAACCTTATGACAGCGGCAGATCGTCTGGCAGTGGAAAGAGACAAAGGTAAAGAGAGATGGGATAAGAACTTGAGAATCAGGAAGGAGAGGGTGAGTGTAGGAGATATAGTCCTTCTCTACGATGCAGCGCTGGAGAGAACCTGGAACGGAAAACTCGCCAACAAATGGATGGGACCTTACAGAGTGGTTGAGGCACTCGACTGGGGTGCATATATGATAGCAGAATTAGACGGATCCATGTGGAAGGACCCAGTGGCGGGTGCTAGGTCAAAGCTGTTTAGGCCCAGGCCCGCACCCATCTTATCGCTGACAAGCCCGCAAGGGAAAGGGATAGCCAAAATGGAGAATGGAGCCGTCTCGAGACGATATGAGGTGGGAGAGAGTTCCAAAAAGAGGAAGAGGGTAGAAAAAAGAAAGGTCAAAGGATAGGCGATAGGGAAGAGAAAGAAATGGTTATTCATGCTCAGGAGAGCCAGACGGAGAGTTCGCATTAGACGAGCTGATGAGTCGGCACCTTTCTCGGACCAACATCAGAAGAAAAAAAGGATCCTACCAAGACCAAAATCCCGAAGGAAAAGGAAAGTCAAGAAGCATCTTTTTAGCCCTGGAACTAATAACAAACTGAAACATAAGACAATTAAACGCCGACGTGGCCAACCTTTACGGGCAATCACCCTAAAACTCGTCCGCTTCATTTGACGCAAGTGGATAGGGCTCGACGGGGGCGTCGAGAAGTGGTCCGGGCTAACTGTCAGGCGGTCACGAGCAGTGCGCCGCCTGAAATCTGCGATTTCGAGACTTAGGCTCCGGGACAAGTCCGTGCTTTGACGGTACTCTGGTATGACCAGGCAGCAAAAATTAGGGGAACTCAGGGCACCCCTGATTTTGGGCGAACTAAACCTTTTGAGTAACCCCCAAAGATGGCGAAGTGGGTAGCCGCTCCCGGCACATCTAGGAACCGTCATTCCCACACGTCCCGAGGCTAGACCTGGGATGGCCGGCTATGGGGAGGCATAGCACGTGTTGACCCTGTGGCAATGCTTTTGCAGCAAATGATCGGGCTGGAGTAGCGCCTCAAATTTTGTCAATTTTTGGTACCTAATTTAAGTATGGGAGAAAAGATTGGGAACAGTAGGAGGGAAGAGAAAAACGTAATATTCCTTCATTCCCCTATTCTTTCGCAGCATATAAATTTTCGGGAAATACCTCGTTATTTTACGTTTTCGGCAATGAAATATAACAACCAGAGAAAAGGATTAAGAATGGTAAAGGAGAGAAGAAAAGAGGGAATTTCAACAATTTGATTAAACTCCCTCAGAATGCATTTTTGGAGAACCTACGAATAATTCACTATTTCAGACAGTAGAGTTAAGGAAAAGGGAGAACGATTAAAAAAGGGTGGAACAAACAGGAGCTAATGATTATTCGATGCCTGGCCCGGTTTTTGCTTGGGATACC